TTTCCAGAAGACCGTCGTATGGCTCATGGTCACCTCTTCCGACAAGGTGTTGTTGGCATCGAAAGCTTTGAAAACGGTTTGAACCAAAACTGCCCTCTTCCAAAAGCCAGCGCATACACCATCCTGATCCGGGAGCTGAAACCATCTGCAGCAGATTCTGCTGCCAGGCTGTCAGCCTGGCAGCACTGCACAGTGTGCAGCAATCCGTTTCTTTCACGGATGACGCCACAAGACAGCAACGAGCTTGTCAGGAATCGCTCCATAAGTGTAGCTTGTTGAGTGACTGACGGCGTCGGCCATATCCATTGTGCTCGTTTGCGAACAAATTGCCGCAACAGCAACACACCGGTATTATAATAATCATGATTCTTAATAACGAAAACGATTTGCTGGGGCTCGTAGCCTCGTACCCAGAGGAGACATTTGCTGCACCATCGGAATCACGATCTCTCTCAGTTTCTCATTCTCCCGTTCACCCTTGGGTAACGCAGTCTTCCAGCCATGGTTTCACTCGGTACCTCCCTCGTCGCCGCCGCGGTGGCCGTCGCCTCGTTCGCAAGCCCGAGTAGCAGCCGGGTCCTTGACCCCAACAAGCTGGTCGTCGGAGAGTTCTTTAAGCCTTCCGGCCACATCGTCTCGGGCTTTTTCAACACCACAGCACCTTTCCGTCGCTCGCCCTGCCCCGCACTCAATGCGCTGGCTAACCACGGTCACCTGTCGCGGGACGGCCAGGGCATCACCAAGGACCAGATTGGATCTGCCCTCAAGTCGGTCTTGAACCAAGGCGATGACGCCGTGGTTGCACTACTGGCAAGCCTGCCCGAAACCATCGCGCTCAGTGATCTGTCCCAGCACAACGTTTGGGACCACGACGCATCACTCGTTCACACCGACGCGCACTTCGGCCACGACCCAGCTGAGGTCAACATCACGCTGGCTAACGACCTCCTCAACCGTGGCAAGGCCAGCAACAAACTGGGCGTCAATGAGGTCGGAAATGCTTACAAGGATCGGCGTCAAGCGGGCAAGCCCTACGAGCCAAAATACTCCCTCTCTGATGCACAGAAGACGCAGTCCTACAGTCAGGGGGCGGGTCTCCTGCTAGTCTTCGGCGCGAAGAACGGAGAGAGTGTTTCGTTGGACGTCGCTCGCTCCTTTCTCGTCGAAGAGAGGATCCCGGACGGATGGAAGCCCGCTGCTACTCCTATCACCGTTGCCGACTCTCGTGCCACCTCTGCTAAGCTCCGTGAGGTCGCCGAGGCGGTGTAGTTGAAAATTTGCACGAGCTGATTGCCTTCATAGTTTGGTAGTTCATTTTACAGAAAATATAAAATTCCTACGCAACCGTGCAAACAGGTATCTGTGATGAATCACTATTTATAATAGGTGTAGCATCTCTCACATGGCTAAACTGAGCTCATGTAGCCCAAATTGATAGACTATAGAACTGCGTCATAAACCGCAAAGTAGGTTCGGAAGAGAAAGTAGCGAGCAGAGATTGGGTATCATAAGTAAAAAAAAAAAACAATGTAGAAAAAAAGATGTTCACTAACTTCTCATATCACTCCACTCACTCACGCTGCCTTGGAATAGCGACAGCGGACGTTCATCAAT